TGGAGGTAAACAGGGCGGTAATTACAGCCAGGGAGGATGATGCTAAACTGGGAAGGTGTTACCGACACCGATGAGGACAGGGGATTAGCCGAAAAGGAGTGCGGGGTATGGGGGGGGGCAGACCTGGGTGGGTAACCAGCGGGACGGTGCCCAGGGTGGCACGGACCCCAAGCACCGATTTTGTGCCGGGATGGGGAGAAGGAGCCGGGGTCGGCAGCGGTGGGGTGGCGAGGGTCGGTGGAGAAGGGAGGTTGCAAGGCGTCGTGGTGACGCGGTGGAAAGGACTCAATTTTGGGGCGCTGATGGGGTGTCAGAGCAAACCCCGAGGGGAGGCAGCCAGGAGGACCCTGCCGCACCCCCGGGAGGAAGAGGAAGGATGGAGCAAGGCTGGTGCCAGGAAGGGTTTGCCGGCGGTTCCTGCTTGCCCCACTGCTGCTCCTGGATGCCGTCCCCACCGCGATGCCCCACGCTGGCACCTCTGGGCACAGGGAACACGGCAAGGAAGGGCCGGAGGCAGAGCTGGGACAAGGGGGTCCTGGCATCTGGGCATCCCGATGGCCACGGGAATCAGGGAGCATTTTCCATGGAGGCTCTGCCCCACGTGTCGCCCTGGCCCCGGGCATGTGCAGGGGGGTGAGTCTGGGCCTTTCCTCTGAAACGCTCTGTCGAGAGCAGAGGTTGGAGCTGCAGCCCTGGGTGGGGATGGGGAGGAAGGGGGGGGGACGTGGATCCGCACGGTGCCGGATCAGGGCGATCCAGAAACCATCCAGACCTTCTGCAGAAGATATCTCCTGCCGGGGCAGCAGGAGAGGCCGAGCTGGTGGCCGGAGGCTGTGAAGACCAGGGAGGGATCCCACCAACATCTGTGGTGTCAAGGTCTACCAGCTGCAAACCAGGAGCTTCTGAGTGCGGGTCCTCGTCGCTCCCGACCCCGGGGACGGAGTCTCGGCTCTTGGTGTTCCTCCTCAGAAGCAAATCCCATCCCGTGGAGAGCTCTTGGGTTTCAACAGCAGCTTGCAAAACCCCGAAGACCCTCAGCAGAGAGGAGCGAGGTGTTGGTGGCTTCCTCGGGAACCCGGAGCCACCGTCGAGAAGGGAAAGGCAGCAAGTTGTGTTGAGCTGGTACGTGACTGGCAAGCCCTTCCCTCCTCCCCAGAACACAGATAGCCCAGAACGGGGATGGAAAGTGCCGTGTTTCCGTAGCAACCAACATTTTCGTGCAAGGTGCTGCACGCACTCCACGCGTTTTGCCACCCAAGGGTGCTCCTCACCTTCCTGCTCCATGCTGGGGGGGGGGTCCTGCCCGGTGGGATGCCTGCGCCCGGGTGGCAGAGTGGGTCCCCAGCCCGGCACTGGGGGCCACGATGCCCTGTTGATGCCTGGTGGGCTCCTTCCCTCCTCCTCCTCGCCGCAGCAAAGGAGCCCAAAGTGTTGAAGCAACGTTGGGTGGCTCCTCGCCGTGGCACAGTGATGCCGGCGTGGCATCTCCCAGCAGCCTTTGCCGTGCCACCACCTGCCCGTGACCAGCATCTCCGACGTCTTCCAGCACAAGCCAGCAGTGGAGACGGGCATCACCACCACCACAACAGCAGCCTCAGACGATGCTGGGGGCCGCGGCGGCTCTCCCCGCACCATCGGCTGTGTCTGTGGCGGCTCCGGCTCCTGCCCATCCACCTCGGCTTGTCCGAGCCGCGCAAAGGGACATCGCGGGGACCAGCGGCTCCAAAACCAACAGGCAGCCCCCGATCGCTGCGGGACCTCCGAGATGCTCAGAGCACTCAGAGCCCTCCCTGCCGAGGGAAGGGCAGCCCCGGCTCATCCCGACCCCACGCCACGGGCGGCAGCCCCCACTGCCCTTCCTGCCCTGTGCCTGATCCGGCGGCCGCTCCGACCTCGTCTTAATGGTCACCGAAGGCTCAACCACGCGGGAATCCACTCGGGGACGCAGGAGCCCACCCGTGGGCTCCAAAGCCGGTTCCGCCAACACCACGAGATGCCGTCCCTGGCTGGGCCAGGCGTGCCCTGAGTCACCGGGGCAGCCGCCCCGGGCACGGTCTGCCCCCAGGGTTCTCCCCAAAATTAAAGCCTCTCCAAGCCAGGGAGCTCAGCGAAACCCCAGGGACAGGCAGAGCTGCCCTGGCCTGGCAGGAGCAGCAGCTCCTCCGGGCCCAGCTGCGGATGCAAATCAAAAGGCAGGAAATTTGACGGCGGTGCCAGTACCTCCGCACCCCGGGAACGCCGAGAAGGACCGCCGTGCCAGTGCCGGCCACCAGCGCTGTCGGCAAGCCTTGGGAAAAGGGGAAGCTTGCGGGATGCTCAACCGCTCCGGTCATGCTCCAGCCCAGCAGAGCCGGACCCGCATGGACCGAGGGACCCCCCCAGACCTCCCGGCATCCTCCAGCCTTCACCTCCAGCACCATCCCAGCTCCAGGAGAGCCAGGGCTCCAGCCCCATCACTGGAGAAGGATTTAACCATCACAGGCCACCACCCGTGCGCCCACTCCAGATCTCCAAGCACTTCGTCCTGCTCCTTCTCCCACCCGTCCCTCGTGCCCGTACAAGCGCTGGCTCTGAAACCCAGTGGGTTATTTTTAACCCAAGCGACCCAGCCCGGTAAAAATCCCCTCTCCGCTCTGTACCTGGGGCGATTTGGCCGGCGAAAGGCGCGGGGGCATTACCGGCTGAAGCGGCACGATCCTCTTTCACCCACCGTTATCCGACAGATGCGACCCGGCAAAAGCCGCCGGCAAAATGGTGACGGGGTCAAGGCGGCGGCGACGGCACGAGCGGGGAAAAATAAGACGCAAGGTCAAGGGCAAACCAAGGACGCGGTGGTTTTGGGGGGAACTTCAGGGTGCACCCCGTCCCAGTGAGGCCGGGAAAATTGGGGGGACGCGAGGACGGAGCCGGTCGCCTTCGGGGTCACCCAGCGTCCTGGCCAGCTGGTCTCGCCACGCCGTCCTGCGAACAGAACTGAAGGAGAGGGGGGGCTGAGAAAAGGTTGGGTTATTTTTAAAAAAGTCATACCAAAAAAAAAAAAAATTTTTTTTCAGAAAATACAACACTAGAAAAAAATGTACAAACAGGTTTCAAAGACGCTCATAAAGAGGCACAGCGCCCACCGTCCTACACATTTCAAGCCATTTTAACATCCCCCTTACATATTAGAGAGTTCTTTTTTTTTCCAAACCAATATAGATCTTTTTTAAGCAAGATAAAATAAAGATATTTACTACAGATTTTGATTGTCAGCAAACACAATATATTTACTGCATTAGCATTTGCTCACAGTGCAAATGGTACAACAATACATCAGTTCAATATTTCTGATTTTTTCCCTTAAAAATGCTGTATGCATTAACTATCATATTTGCATTACAACATGACAAATGAGCAAATGAAATGTGTGTGAAAATTATCACCTTTTCACAATATCAAGCATAATTTTTTTTAACCTTAGTATAAGGTACTATAAATCCAAGAAATAAAAACATCCACAAAATATATTACATCTGGTATGATTTTTTTTTTCTCTAAGTACTCAACTTTATACAAAAGTCTTTCAAAAAATATCATTCCCTTAGGTTTGTGTGGTTAAACCTGATTGTGGTTTTTTTTGTTCCTTTCGGTTCACATAAATTAGACTGCATTCTTTCTCTTCTCTTTATTTTTTGTACGTTTTTAATGTTTTTTTTCACATGCAGACATCAAACCTGGATAGCACGACCTTTTGGCAACAAAGATTTTTTTTTAAGTCATTATTATTTTTGCTTAGTTTAGCTTAAATGTCTGAGCACAGTTTTATTAAAACAAAAGAAGAAAAAAATCAGAGCAGTCATGCAATGACATGCACATACCAGAAGGAGAAAGAAAAAAAAAAAATAAAATAGAGGACTAATTGATTTTTCTCCTCCGTAGTTGGTTGGTTGTTTTA